CGCCAACGGGTGACGCGGCAAATTTAAATTCAGTCTTCCCGTACCCGCGGGTAACTTGTACGGCCCCGTGAAGGTTTTTTACGGATAAATTAATATCTCAGGAACCACGGAGTTCAGGAGGCTGAAATTTTACAGTAATGACTCCCTGCCCACGTTCAACATTGCCCATTCAAATTCAGCGTCCCCACGCTCTCGGGTATCACCTACGGGCTAGCGAAAATTTTTTACGGGTAAGTTAATATCTCGGAAACTACGAAGTCCAGGAGGCTGAAATTTTACGGTAATGACCTCCTGCTCACGCTCGACTCTGCCTATTTAAATTTAGCGTTCCCGCGCTCTTGAGTATCACCTACGGCCTCGTGAAAATTTGGCGAGTACAATATTAATTCGGGAATCACGGAGAGATATTCACCCTTCAAGGTTTCAAATTCAGCTTTCATGCGCTGGTGCGTGAAATTTTTAACTGTTTTCCAATGTCTGAACTATTTTCGCATAGACTAAAGTACAAAGCAGTGAAAACCATTAATAGGCAATTGTTCGATGGGCTGAATTGCACAAAACCCATGATCGCACCGGCTAGTCTGGTGCGCGTTGCTATTTATTTTGAACCTAGTGTATGTATGTATGTGTGTGTTTGTATGTGGATGTATGGAGACGGAAGACTCTGGTCAGCCAAAGCTCAGAGCAGGAAAATGCTGCTGACAGGGGTGTTGAAATTGATGCAAGGAAAAGTGTCAAAAAGTGGAAGTATATGCCCGGATGACCACAAATCAAAGGCTGCGTAACTCGAAAGGAGGGTAAGCCACCCAAAGACTAGCTCCAAGGTGAAAATTGGTGAAAAAGAAAGGGGAATCGCAGGAAAGGGGTAGGGGGAGGGCGACAAAATAAATCATCGTTTTTGTCCTGGAATATTTTGGTCAAAACAACGGCCAGGAGTTCTGCTATATGTCTTATTTCTTGTATTTGAGGGCTGAATTACTTTTACATGCACACCAACATATAGACACACGCACAAGCATACACACACACACACAAACTGACCTGTCAAAATGTCCAGCTCCCGCTGTACTCGCCCTCATGGCCCACGAGATGCCCAGGAAGCACTTGGGATCATCATGAGTGGTTGCACACGTTAGCAGTAATACCCCGTTCGTCAGTCCGCTGACAGTGTCCAATCCAGCGACCAGTAGGTGTACTTCAAGATGTCGACGGTAAGAAGCGATAGTGGAGAAAACAGAGAATTAGAAATGCAACAGACCTGAGCTAAACGGATGTTTTTAGCATAATGCACCACAGCCGGTGCTCTAAGGCTCAGATGGATTGTGGCCAAAATCGATTGTCCTTCCGGTGCTCGCTGGGCATCCTTTTGCTTTTCCTGTTAAGTTCCCGAGAGTTGTGCAAAGCGGGTCAGTGCGTCTCGGGCTGTGTGGGGGAGGAGGGCGCTGGGTACCATTTTTTAGTACATTTGGCTGATGAATTCCGATGCAGCTCCGTTTAGCATAGCAAGAGCAGCTAGGCGGGAAGACCTTCCCGGCGGATACGCCGATCGTGCCATTGGGGAAACCCAGTTCCTATAAGATTCTGTTTCGGTAGTGACACATACCAGTGGGTCAAAAACCCTTCATGCTGTTGAGGCGCCTCGCTATTCTTGAAAGAAGAAGCCATCAGCAGTCTTTGCTGACGAGTGGTTGCTGCTTGGCATATGCTGCTACTCGGCGATATTTTTTAGTACCTCGCGCCGGGACCCCAGGGTTAGCACCACGGGGTTTTAACAGCTCACTGAAGCACAGAGTAGTGAGCCTCGTGATCTCTGCTTTATTCCGCCCGGCGTTCCTGCTAGTTGCACAGGAGATCGAAGGTTCCATCATTTGAACCGTGAGCAGAAGGGTGTTTGGAATTCCGCAAAAACCAGCATTGGCCCACTTGTAAGCACTGAGCGTTATGTCCCGGTGTTCGGTATGTGCGAAAGTGACCACTCGGACGGCCTCAGAAGAAATGAAAAGTAGTTCGCGCGGGAGGGGG